CCACAAACAGACCTACATAAATATAATCAACTGATCTTGGACAAAGATCTTGGAAATGACAATACAATGAAGAAAAGACAGTCTTTTCAACAAATGGTGCTGGAACAACTGGACATCCACATGCAAAAACATGAGTCTAGACACAGACCTTGCACCCTGCATAAAAATTAACTGAAAATGGACCACAAACCTAAATTAAAATGCAAAGCAATAAAACTACAAGATAACACAACAGAAAATGCAGATAACCTTGGATTTGGCGATGCCTTTTTAGATGCAATGCCAAAGGCAATATCCATGAAAGTAAGAATTGGTAAGGTGGACTTTATTATAACAAAAATTTCTGCTCTGCAAAAGACACTGTCAAGAGAATTAAAAGACCAGCCACAGACTTGGAGAAAATATTTGCAAAAGACATATCTGATAGAAGATTGTTATCCAAAATATACAAAGAACTCTTAAAACTCAACAATAAGCAAATCATCAGATTAAAAATGGAGGGTGCCTGGGTGGCTCAGGCAGTTAAGCATCTGACTTCAGCTCTGGTCACGATCTCATGGTTCATGGGTTCAGCCTCACATCGGGCTCTGTGCTAACAGCTCAGAGCCTGGAGCCTGCTTCAGATTCTGTTTCTCCCTCTCTCTCTGCCCCTCCCCCCCCCTCAAAAAGATGAATAAACATTAAAAAATTAAAAAAAAAAAGGGCCAAACAACAGGTACATGAAAAGATGCTCGGCATCACTACTCATCAGGGAAATGCAAATCAAAAGCATTCTGAGATATCACCACACATCTGTTAGAGTGGCAACTACCAAAAAGACAAGTGATAACAAGTGTTGGAGAGGATGTGGAGAAAAGGGAACCTTAGTGCACTGTTGGTGGGAATACAATTTGGTACAGCCACTACGGAAAACAATATGAACAGTGTGGAAAGCTCCTCAAAAAGTTAAGCAGAGAGATACCTGTGATCCGGTAATCCCGCTTCTGGGTTTATATCTGAAGGAAACAAAATCGCTATCTTGAAAAGATACCTGCACCCTCATTATTTACAGCATTGCAAATATTACTTATTGCAGCATCATTTACAATGTCCGAGACATGGAAACCTAGTTCTGTTGACAGACGAATGAATAAAGAAAATGTGGTGTATGGTGTGACATATATATCATATAATATATATGTATTAGAATATTATTCATCCATAAAAAGGAAGGAAATCCTGCTATTGGCAACAACACGGTTGGGTCTTGAGGACCCTATGCTAAGTGATGGAAGCTAGACTAACACTCTGTAATATGACTTATATGTGGTATCTATTTTTGAAAAAGCCAAACTCATAGAAACACAGAGTGGAATGATGGTTGCCAGGAGCTGGGGGTGGGGGAAACGAGGAGATGCTGTTCAGAGGGTACAAAGTTATAGGATGAATAAATTCTAGGCATCTAATATTCAGCATGGTGATTACAGTTAACGATACTGTATTATGTACTGGATAGTTGCTAAGACCGTAAATCTTAAATGCTCTCACCACACACATGCACAAAATTATAACTATGTGAGATGGTGGATGTGTTAACTAACCTTACTGTAGTCATCATTTTGCAGTACATACATGTATCAAATCATCACCCTGTGTACCTTCAACTTAAATATGTCAATGATATCTCAAAAAAGCTGCAAAATAAATAAGATAGGATAAAGAAAAAAGTGGGTCAAAGACTTAGCAGACACTTCATTAAAGAAGACACACAGTGGCAAATAAGTATATGAAAAGATGCTCCACAACCATAGGTCATTGGGGGATTGCAAATTATGACAACCACAACACACCCACCAGAATGGCTAAAATTCACAACACTGACAACGCCTGAATACTGACAAGGATGTGGGGCAAGAGGAACTCCAGGAACTGTCATTCGTTGCCAGTGGGAATGCAAAATGGTACGACCAGTTGGGAAGTCTGGTGGCTTCTTATAAAACTCAACATTCCTTTACCATAAGATCCAGTAATCGCACTCTTTTGTATGGACCTATCATAGGAGTTGAGTAAAAAGATCAGGGGTTATGGAGGAGGGAGGGAGATAAATGGGTGGAGCACGGGTTTTTTTAGGGAAGTGACACTTCTCTACATGATGCTATAATGGTGGATATATGCCATCATAGATTTGTCCAAACTCATAAAATGCTCAATACCAAGAACGAACCCTAAGATAAACTATGGACTTTGGGTGATAGTGATGTGTCAATGGACATTAATGAATTGTAAAAATGTCCCACTTTGCTAGGGGATATTGATAATGGGGGGAGGCTCTGCATGTGCTGGGGCTGGGAGTGAATGGGAAATCTGCACCTTCTTTCCAATTTTGTTGTGAACTTAAGACTGCTTCAAAAATAAATTCTCTTACAGAAAAATTTTTTAAATAAAAATAAACTGAGCAAAGAAAAAAAAAAGTTGGTAAAAGACCTTCACTGCTGATCTTGGAAGTTCACTTAAGTCCGCTTTGCAGCCCCAGCCTTCTGTTGGAAGGTTAAAGAAATGCCTACAGAGGCCGGCACGCCCCCTGCAGGAGGGGAGGGGTGAGGTGAGGCGAGGGGATGGTTTAGGGTTGGCCTGAGGTTCTTAGAGCGGGTCTCAAGCGGAATTACCAGGAAGCTCTTAAAAGTACCAGTGCTCCGGTCTCCTCACACTGAGACTTTCCCTTGGCAGAGTCCAGGCAGGCAGTGGGACGTGAAAAGCGCTCTCCTACATTCTAACGTGCAGCCGCGTCTGAGAATCGCCGTGACCGAGCGGCGGTGGGTGGGGGACGGGGCTGGAGGTCAGAGTACTGGAAAGAAAGG